TCTAGCTTGGAGATATGAATACACTGTATCGGTTTGACCGTCGTGCAGCGAATTTTGCTCTCGTGGGTGCAGAGTGGAGGGGAGAGGGCTGACCCCCCCCCCCCTACCAGAGGTCACTTGAAGGGGACTCGGAGGTAGCTCTGTGATGTCCACTTCCGTGGGCGTTCTCCTGCCTGAAGAGTTGCACCGTTCTGCAAGAGTCTCGGATGGACGCTTCTTCTAATGAATCGATGCCAAGAGCACAGTTGGGATAATATCAGGGGTTTTATTTATTTATATAAATCCAACTATGTATTCCATGGTGAGCAGGTTCAAAGATCTATTTTTTTAAACCGCTTGTGCAGTCATTGGTGACCAGGTCTGAGCACAAGGACCCCTCCTTGGCAGTGGCAGACAAAGCTTCTCTCCCCACTTCTCCGCTCGAGAGCAGCGGAGCGAGGCTCTGGCCCCGAGTCCTGGCTCGGAGGGCGGTGGGTGGGGTCGGGGGTCACCTCGCGAGCCCCGCGGCCGCCCCTGAACACGTCGTCGTACGCCTCTAATTGCCATCGATTGATGTTTGGGGTTAGGGCGCTTGAGGCTCTGGCAGCCGGCACTCAAACTCAAAAGGAGTGCCATTCTTAAAAACGTGCATCATCATCGTCATCGTCACCGCCAGATTCATCAACGCCACCATTGTCACCATCGCCGGCATCCTCTCTGGCCAGGTAGACGTCGCTCGTTGATTTCGTCGTCGTCGTCGGCGTCATCATCGCCGCCTTGATGAACCATGATCCACCCGGTCCTGAATGAAGGTCTCCCAACTCTTTGCCAGTTGTGGTTATGACCGTACCTCGTCGCCATAATCGGTGCGCGTTGGTGAAGTGGGGACACGGGGTCAGTTCGGGTATTGCTGCCGCTGCCACTGACGTCGGCCGTGGCTGGGACGAACGCCGCTCCCCTTGCGCTGCTGGTCGCACCAGCGCTGTTTACGCGCCGCGTCAGGCACTCGTTTCATGCCGAGTCGATCTACAGGAGGCCCAAGCTCATATTTAATATCACTGACCATCTCGCATTCGTCGTGGCTGAGAATCGAACCCTGATCGCCAGCTTCGGGGTTGTCAACTGCAGCACCACCGCTCCCCCATTAAATACATGTTGATAAGCTATCGGATGACGATTGAAATATGTCCACGTGTAGTTAGCGTACTGCATACACGACCGTGCACATAAACTACTTACTGCGTGCGCGTGTGTGCGTACTTAGGTACGCGCGTGCGTGCTCGCGTGTCTGTGAGTGTCAGAGCGTTGCTCGTGCGGGCAGGCGGGCGGGCGGGCGGGCGGGCGGGTGTCACCAGTGCGGTGGTTTGGGATCGCTCGACAAAGCGGTCCGCACGGCCGTCTCACGTGGGCTCGCGCGCGTTTTCGACCCGCGCGCCGGCACGCCCGGCCTCGCTCTCGCAGATCCATCCCTACACGGCGTGGCGACGCTCGGTGAGAGAGAGAGGGGGGGGCGGTGGTGGCATCAATGGCTCCGGTGCAACATCGATTTCCGTGGCACTTACACAGACCTCGTGGGGGACCGACGTGGCGTCGGCGGTTGTCGCCGTGGCTTCACCGAAGCGAGATTAAAATGTGAAGTGCAAACGACTGCGTCCGATTGGACATCGAGCCGAGACAAACATCCGTGAGAGATCAACATTTTTTTCCCGCCTCCTCTGAGGAAAAGTTTGGGTGGCCACGATGATGTCATGATTACGGTAGCGATTTATTATTCGCTGGAGCAAAAAACACATCCGCAATGTAACTTGTGTTGGCCATACGCCCCAATGCTGAAAATGTACCTGTCAAATTTCCTCGATTTGGGATTATCCATAGCAACATCGCCCCGTGCTGTGAAAACACGAAACTACATTTTGTTTTTATTTTACCCGGTACGGCCCACTGAGCTTTATAGCTCTTATTGAGAAGAGATCTGGCCACAAATGATAGCTCGACGGAGTGGTTTATCGCGCGGAAATGTTTCGCGACCAAATACCCGAAACGCGTTTTTCTAAATGTGGAGGGTAAAACTGGTAGCACGACTACGGGGAGAACACGCAAACTCTACATACACAGCAGGCGTCAGGGTCAGGATCGAACCGACGACCACCTGTATACCAGGTGAGGGAGTTAACATTTCGTGGCGCCTATACTCAGCATAAAAAGAGCCTTGAGGCTCAGTGAGGCTTTCCTGGGTAAACAAGCGTAATCATATTAGAGTCATTAATAAGTAATATTTTAAATAACTAAAAAAAAACACACTTTAATGAAATGTACCGTACTAGTAATGGAAGAACTCCACGACTCCAGGAAGTGGCCCCGAAGCTTGCCATAACGTAAGGGACCGTGGCCAATTACAGCCAACGTCAGTTGACCGTGGACAATTTGACTGAAGCCGAAACATATATATAACATTTTTTTTTCAAATATGTTTTTTTAATGATAGAATATAGTATTGTCATCAGTAAGACATAAGTATACCAAGTTTGCAGTCGATCCCACATCGGGAAGTGTGTTAAAATTGAGTTACGAGATTTGAGGATACAACAACGACAACAACAACGACAACAACAGACAGAGTGAGTTAAATAAAAGCGTGTCAAATTGACATGACGAGATCTCAATCTTAATGTTGATGAGCTCTCTGCACGTCACACATGCGCTGTACACAAACTCACACACGGGCACAATATCTCTCTATCTTAATTTGAATCAGCCCTCTCGACGTACACACTCGCAATGATCTGCATCTCAATTGGAATCGGCGCCCCTTTCTACGGCGTGTCGAAATTGTGCGTTTCGCAATCGCCAGGCGTGTGCAGATTGTAACCACCTAAACAAAGGTCTGCGTTGGAGTGGAGGTCATTTAGCAAACTCCGTGCTGGAGCTTGAAGACCCTGCTGGTACGTTGCCGAGTGTAGTCAAGCGACGATTAAGAACGTCGGGATGCTGCCCTGGTGAACAGGCTCGCACACTGGACTTGCAATCCAGAGGTTGGCAGTACGATGCAGTCTCCTGGCGCGGCGGTTGAAGCAATGGAAATCCATAGTGGAGGCAAGAATAGAAATTGTGTTAGATCGCGGAAAGGTGGAGGTCCTTCCGCCAGCAGTGGCAGAAGGACCTCCACTTACAGCACTGCTCCTTTGCCTTCGACATTAAAGACGTTGAGGAGTTTTCACACGGCGCATGCGCGTGCGTGCGTGTGCCAATAGCGGGATCGTGTTAGAGCAGGTGAGTGAGTGTGCATCATTAAGACAATTACTGCATTAAGCGGTCACGGGTAGAACTGACCCTCCCCCCCCCGTGTTGTCAACAGACCGCCCCCAACAGACCGCCCCCAGCGCAGGAGAAACAAACGCAAAGTTGGAAACCGCCCAGCGGCTCTCCGTGCCAAACTCCCCCCCCTCACCGCCGCCGCCGCCCGCTCTGTGTTGTCCCGCTTGAAGTGGCGCACCGCACACCGGATTAGTGGCAGGGGCCCGTGGTGAAGGGGTGGGGGGCTGCTCGCATTTCCACTCTCGTTCTCTCCCGTTGAGAGGCGGGGGGTGCGCGTGTGGCTGGCGACGCGCAAGCCGGGTTGGACTTTCGCCTTATTGGCGCTGATTTTTCCTTTTTTCAGATTTTTTTAAAGATTTGTTTTGGTCGAGTTGAGCCGCGTGGATTCGTGCCGAAGGGTTGTAATCGCTTGGTAAAGGGAGTTCATTTTGGCGAGTCACTGGTGCTGCGAGCACGGTTGAGAGGGAAGGGGGGGGGCTGAGAATCGGTGGAAATTATTTATTTATTAAGAACCACTTTGGGGATGCAACCCAGATGCACCGTCTCTGGATGTTCGAAGAATATTGTTTTTGTCATTATATTTTTCATGTTTTTGGGGACACATTTCCGTGCGTTGGGTTGCTTACCAATTGAGTTAGTGCTCGCTCAACGATCTTTTAAATGTTTGAATTCAGCATTCTCAAGTGGAGTGAGTTGATGGTGAAGTTTGATTTTGCACTTAATCTGGCCAAGTGTGAGCTCTGAGAATTAAAACATTACCGTGTCCAGCAGGGTGCGTGGGAATGTGCTTGCCCATCTGGTACGGATAGGAGGTCACGTGAAAGGATCCCTGTCGTAGTAGTTGTGTGATGTCTACTTCCACGGGTTGTTCTTGGCATGGGGTGACACGCAGCACAATCGGGAAACCAACAACAAATGAACGAGCGACGTCGATTATGCGAACCCGAGAGGAGTTCCCATATTGTTACCTCCACGTCAGGTAGACATGTCGTCTGGACACACGGGGCCATTTGCCAGACATCTGTGTGTGCTTAATACAAAAAAAAGCCTTCTAATGCGGCTCCTTTATTTTGCTTGCAAAACACAACTTCACTCAGTCACGATGAGCATGAAACGCACGTGTTCACACATCTGTGCAAAATACAACCAATCCTCCGTGTAGCCTGTAACAGACTGTTGGGGCAAGTGCTGTTAGCGAGTAGCACCTATGAAGGCCGGCACGGCACACGAGGGGGTGGGTGGCCAGCACCCCGCCCGGCCGCCTTTGTCTCCCTGGTGGCAAGGTTTACTACACACCGCACCAGGTACTCATTTGAACTCATTTGAGGCTGAGTCGGGGTTGAACCCATGACCTCATGCATATCAAGCAAGGTAGTTAACATCTCGCCACCGTGGCAGCAGTAGTATCTCAATGGGACCTGGACACCCAAACCCCACCCGCACTAACTCAGATGGTGAAGTTGTGATAAAACAACTCTCATGGCCAACACGGCAGGGGGAGGCCTTCGCCTGCAGCAGATTGACAAACTCCCCAACGATGCATGGATTTATTTAATTCACAAAAGGCTCACATCGACATGTGCGGTCACGTCACGCAATTTACCGGCACCGATGTCACCGTTGCTGCGGCGCGGCGTTGCCCCGGGTGTGATCTCACGGCCGCTTGCTGGCGTCGCTCTAACGCGTCGATGTTCTCGTCTCTCCAGGCGAGGCCGGTGTACGGAGGGTGGCTGTGCCTGGCTCCGGAGGGGACCAACTTTGAGAATGCCGGACATCGATCACGGGTACGTGGACACAACACGGCCAGCTAACGGCCTCGGCTCCCCCCCGCCCCGGGGCCACTGGGAAGGGTTGGGTGGCAGGTGGCGCAGTTTGCCACCTTCCCCGGGCCGCAGAAACTGCCAAGAGGGCCTCATAATAGGCCAAGAGTAGCCCTTAGGAGGGGCCTTAGAAAGGGCCGAATGGGCTCAGAAGAGGCCAGGAAAGGGCCGAGGAGGCCTCAATGGGGGCCTTCTCAGGTATTTAGTTTCCCTCCCTGGGCCTCCAAAAACCTTTTGGCGTGCCTAGCCCCGTCCCACTAACCGCACCGCACAAGTTGTTGCAACACCAATTGGCAGAAACGCGAGCAAGTTGCCAGGGAATTAAAATGAAGCGTTTGAAAGTTTCTCTGGCCGTTTGTGGTGACGGTAAATAATTAACTTACGCTGCTCCATCAAGTTCCCCAGCCGGCCTCCTGATAAAAGAACTCAGTTCATGCCGCCGAATTCTGCAGAGTGTGGGCAAAGCAATTTTTTGTTTGCGTGAAATGCTTAATTAAGAACTGCAACTCACTGGCTACAATCTCAAGCCCTGTTGAGCGATCTGCCACACTGCCCCTCACACGGTGCGTACAGTATTTAAAATGCGTCGGCAGCCACTGACGTAAATGTAGAGTTTACGCTGCAAATTGGTCTTTAATTCACGGAAACGTCATGAAAAGTGTGCATTTTTTTCCGGACAAGGGATGTATTTGACTGGTGTTATTTTAAAACGAATAAAAAAGACACAGTTGTACTGGTTACTTTATAGGTTCACCGGTATGATAATTTTTTAAAATTACATTAATTAAACTAGCCATTCTTATTACTTCAGATTAAGGTGAGAGGTGGCGCAGTGGTTTGCACGCTGCGCTGTGAAACCAGAGACTTGGATTTGATTCCCAGCCACGGTCAACAAGCAGTGCCGGGTGAAACCTGCACCGGCCCTTGTGTTCCCCTCCATGGGCAGACCGCAGTGACCGGCGTGGCGAAGTATGGTCAACCAAACGTTGACGCGGCGTGGGGCCAGACCCCTTATCCAGCAGTGGATTGTGACGAAAGGCCGTGCGTGACCGCAACAACAACAACAACAACAACACATTTACTTTACAGATGAACATGAACAGGACACTGTTGATTGTGCGCAAAATTGAATGGAACATTTTCCGGAGTCCAAAGTCAGTTGATGCCACCTGGCATGGCCTTTTAGGGGGAAATAAAAACCCCGCGCTGGATCGTTTTACTAAATCCACGTGCCGCTTGAAGCGGTGATCCTGTGGTATGTGTGGGCCTGGCTGTAGCATTTAAAGCATTTTGTCAGTCCTGAATAGCCATTAGATAGGAGTAATTATTGCTATGTGCAAGCAGGCGTGGTCCGGGCAAGCAAGCTTCTCGATGAAGACGAGGGGGGGAGGGGGAAGGGGTGTGGGCGACGGTGGTGGAGTGTGGAATTTGAATGATGTGTGCCTGTGATACCACATCACAGGTACACATCCTTCTGCCTTTCTTGTGCTCAGTTTGTTGTCCTTCCCCCGCACCTCCGATTTAGCTCACGGTCGGCTACGTACGGTGCCAAAGAAATTCAACAACAAGCGCCATTCGCCACTAAGTGGCGGCGACGTCACCACGGCGCCTGTGCCAGGCCATGCGCACTTTTAGGCCACGTGAAGTGTCGAACGACCCCCGGTGCCACGTGCAAAATATCGAAGTTCAATATAGGCACGTAGGCATACGTACACATACGTGCACCTGATGCGGCGTTCCCACATACTGCCCAACGGTGAGCCGGCCTGCTATCCCGAAAATGGTTTGGGCCCAGGTTCCTACAGCTGAGTGGTTCACCATTGAGATAACCCTGGGGGCGGTGGCAGCGGTACGCTGGGCGCGAGCAATCCAGAGGTCACGGGATGTTTCTCCCGCGGGGGGGAATGCAAATGAAAATCTGGAGCAGTTTCCTTCACTCTACCGCTGCCTCTGTACGCCTTGGTAGGAGAGCGAGCGAGGCACACTCGACACGGAGAAGGGGGATAGCGACGAGGTGATTTCGTATATGTGTGCGGTGTGACCGCCACTAGTGGCCGCTACGTTCACAACTTAAAAACAAATACACACTGGATTATGCAAGCGAGTTTCGAACCCGAATAGCGACAAGTCACTGGATCACCGGGGAAGGGAATTGTGACGCCTCGACCTTTCTGAGTTGGCTTTCATGGTGGGGTAAAATTCGGACATCGCCATGCCCACTTCATTCAGTGCTCGTGTTCGATGTGGAGGAGTGGCATCAGCCTCATAGCGTGGGTGGTGGGGAGGTGGCATAACTCATCCCTTGCTTTTTGCCGGGATTGACATTTAAATTTTTGACATTTTTATTGTGATTATGAAACACCGTGAATAATCGCCTGATTCCCCGCGTTTCAGCGTGTGCACGTAGCCACGTGAGCATCGGTGTCTTCGACTTTCAAACAAGCCTGCCGATGAGAAGGTCAAACGGCCATTCCAGATAGAATTTTTGCTTGGTAATACAACTACTGTGGGTTAATATTGCTCTGGAATGCCAAGAGGCCGATGGACTAAGATATATCTACGTGTCGTGAATTTATACGTGAAGACGTTAAAGGGAGTTCTGCTCGCGTAGTTGATGTTGACCGAGTGATTGTCACAAGTGCGGCTGTAATGGGATGTGCTTGCTCGTGCTGTGTGCGGGGTCTCCGTGTGTCTCCCTAGAAGTGGCAGAGGCGGTTCTTCGTGCTGTTCGAGCACGGGGGTCTGCAGTTCGCCCTCGACTCTTCGGTAAGACGCTCCTCCTTTCCCTATCCGCACCTCCGATGAGCACGCGTAACCAGCCATCATCGTCTTCATCATCACCATGACACGTGTCTGTGTGTGCATGTACATCCCTCTGGCAATCCACTGCTCGATGGGTTCCTCCTCGCGCCATGAGGATCGTGGGCGGATATTTGACCGAACGCCACTGCGCTGGGCTGGTCGGTGGGGGGGGGGGGGGGTCGGGTCACGGCAGGGGGCATAGGCAGGGGGCATAGATGAGGCAGTGCAGTACAACAGTGGGAAATTGCTGCACTGCCCACTATGTCGCGTTGCATCACAATCACTTCCATTCCCGGCCACCCGTGGCTACCGTCGGTGGTGAGTGACGACTGAAGCTGTCCAGGGCCCCCCCCCGCCCGCCCGCCCCTCCCCCCACTCTCCTCCTGCCTTCCTTTGATAACCGCTACTGATCGTCATGGTCAAGTATGGTCCAACGACAATCATTGGCAAGTAGCATCTCACAGTCCTACAACTATAAACGAAACTACTTGTTGTTCTAACGGGCAAGGCCCCACTGAGCGACGTGTAGCTCTTTGTCAGAAGCGACCCGGCCACAATTGGTAGCTCGCCGCAGTGGCTCCTCAGCATCATCATCACCACGTGGAAATGTCGAGCAACCGAATACTCTGAACGCGTGACGTTGATTCTAAATGTGGAGGGGAAAACCGGAGAAAAATCCACGCGACCACGGTGAGAGAGAGAGAGATGCAAATTCCAAATATACAGCAGGCGTCAGTCAGGATTGAACCCACGACCTCCTGTATACCAGGCGAGGTAGTTAACATCTCCTAGCCACCGTGAAGATGATGAGAGAGACACGCAAACTCCAAATATACAGCAGGCGTCAGGGTTGGGATCGAACCCACGACCTCCTGCATACCAGGCGAGGTAGTTAATATGTCGCCACCGCAAAATTGACAATAGGCTGTGCATTTAAAAAAAAATCATCATTACACGTTGATATTTGGTTATGATTTGCAGTGCACACGAAGAAGCAGGCTGTGCGTTTGTAATGGAAGCAGTGGCAACAACCTTGATGAACAAACTACCAGTCGAGAAAAAAATGTAACAAATGATAAAATGATAAATCCTTCACTCGACAATTAGCCGAACAACGAAAACCGCGATGAACGCTCTTACCCGCTGCCTTGGCGTGACGTCGCTCGCTCTTGTGAATTATGCAATTGCTCAATTGCATCACCTCGTCGCTCCATCTCCCCTGCTCGTCAACTCCGTAGCCACCCACGCGACAATGAATAACAGGGCAAACACGCGTTACACGCCCATGAAGCAAACGCTCTGTGTATTTCTGTACCCTGTGCATTGTGATCATTTTTTGACAACGGCAACCTCCGCTCGGTATTTTTGGGGCAAAAGCGTTAATTTTAGAAGCACGCAAAAAGAGGAATGAGACGAGTGTGCAATCGGTCATAAGTCAAACACTGTCAATAAACAAGGCGCTTATTTTGCGATAACTGAGGGGTACGGAATTCCTGCAGCATTCTTGAGATGGCGAGAGACACACACAGAGACACACACACACAGAGACACCGAGACACACATACACACACAGAGAGAGACACACACAGAGACACACACAGACACCGAGACACAGAGAGAGAGAGAGAGAGACACACACACACACACAGAGACACCGAGACACAGAGAGAGACACACACACACAGAGACACACACACAGAGACACCGAGACACAGAGAGACAGAGAGACACACACACACAGAGAGACACACACACAGAGACACCGAGACACACAGAGACACCGAGACACACACACCGAGACGCACACACCGAGACACCGAGAGACACACACACCGAGACACCGAGAGACACACAGAGAGACACACACCGAGACACACACACAGAAAGAGAAACACACACACAGACACGAGACACACACCGAGAGGGACATGAAGAGAGGGACACACACAGACACAGAGACACAGAGAGAGAGAGAGACAGACACAGAGAGACAGACACAGCGAGAGCGCCCGGCTGTGTAAATCTTCTCCTGAGAACTGAAGAGGCCTTTTCACTCGTGGAACAAAAACTAGGGGGAGAAGATTTAAACAGCGTTCCCAGTTGCGGAGGAGCTCGGCACAATGCGTGTCAGAGGCACATTCCGGCAGACAAACGGAGCGCTTGGTGTGACAGAAGATCCCGTGCATGTGCGTGTTGTCTCTGTCTTTGTGTGTGCCGTGCATGTGCGTGCGTGTATAGTCTCTGTCTTTGTGTGTGCCGTGCATGTGCGTGCGTGCGTGTTGTCTCTGTCTTGGTGTGTGCTGTGCATGTGCGTGCGTGTTGTCTCTGTCTGTGTGTGTGCCGTGCATGTGCGTGCGTGTTGTCTCTGTCTTGGTGTGTGCCGTGCATGTGCGTGCGTGTTGTCTCTGTCTTTGTGTGTGCCGTGCATGTGCGTGCGTGTTGTCTCTGTCTTTGTGTGTGCCGTGCATGTGCGTGCGTGTTGTCTCTGTCTTTGTGTGTGCCGTGCATGTGCGTGCGTGTATAGTCTCTGTCTTTGTGTGTGCCGTGCATGTGCGTGCGTGTTGTCTCTGTCTCTGTGTGTGCCGTGCATGTGCGTGTACATCATGGTGTGCCTCTGTGCGTAGCTGTTTGTGGGGGGCGGTAATGCGGTGGCTAGCGCACTCCACGGCGCACCGTTCGGCCGGAGTTCGATCCCCGCTCACGACTAATAACAGTGGCGAATATCTGAACCGGTCCTGTGCCTCCCCTAGGTCGACTCAGCCTCAAATGAGTACCTGGTGCGATGCGTAAATGTCGCCATTGGAGAGACAAAGGCGGCCGGGCGTGGTGTGGGCCACCCACCCCCTTGTGTGCCGTTCCGGCCTTCATAGGCGCTCGTTAGCAGCACTTGCCCCAACAGTCTGTTAAGGCTATATGGGGGATCTTTGTCTTTGTGGGTTTATATGTGTAATGGTGTGTGTGTGGGTATATGTGTGTCGATGTGTGTGTGTGGGTGTGTATGTGTGTGTCGGTGTGTGTGGGTGTGTGTGTGTATGTGTGTGTATGTCGGTGTGTGTGTATGTATGTGTGTCGGTGTGTGTGTGTATGTGTGTGTCGGTGTGTGTGTGTACATTCCCCAACATTCCTCCCCCCCCCCCCGCTTGCATCAGTCGGCATGCCTCTGCATCACTGCACAGGCACTCCCCTGCACTTGCCCAAGTCGCGTGCAACTTTCAACCCGAGACTGTTGACGGGGCCGTCGTGGCGCTGTGGATGACAGCGTCATTGTCCCCCCGGGTTGCACCTCAACACTTAGTGCTCGTGGCAACAGCAGCGACTAAACACACACGACACAACAGACGGGCTGGGGGGGGGGCGCACATTGTACAATGAAGGCCGCGACTCTTCTCGTGGAATCTGATTAAATACCTGAAAATGCGAAACGTGCGCGTGTTTGCGGATTACGAAACAACGAGCGGAGGGGGCGGGAGAGAGGGAGGGGGCGGGAGAGAGGGGGGCAGGAGAGGGGGGGGCAGAAGAGGAGGGGGCAGGAGAGGGGGGGGCAGGAGAGAGGGGGGGGCAGGAGAGAGGGGGGGCAGGAAGGGGGGGGGCAAGAGAGAGGGGGGGCGGGAGAGGGGGGGGGGGCAGGAGAGAGAGCGACGCAGCGCGGGACAACACCGCGCTGCCTCCGTCCCCTTGTGGGGGGCCAGCGCTCGTTTAGCCTTAACAAGGGGGGGGCACTAAGACATCGTCAGCGTGAGGACCGCCGCACCATTTGGAACCATCGTGGGGTTTGACAGCAGCACCATGACGATGGTGATGGTGGTGATGATGGTGATGGTGATGATGGAGGGGGGGGTGTTTTCACTTTAGTGTCTTGTCGGGGGCCACACTAAAGACCTCCGCGGGCCTTGCAGTGGACAGCAGCGCTGCTCTGGCCATTTGTTTAAAGCCACGGGGCTCCAGCTGCCGTGTGCTGCCTTGGTGGTGGGAACCATTCCACGACGGCACCCAGGGGGGAAGCTGAGTGGCGTAGTCGGCTTGTTACATCACACTACGCGTGGTTGTGTTGGGGTAGCTGAGTGGGGTAGTCTGCTAGTTACACCAGAGTACACGTGGTTGTGTTGGGGTAGCTGAGTGGGGCAGTCTGCTAGTTCCACCAGAGTGCACGTGGTTGTATTGGGGTAGCTGAGTGGAGTAGTCGGCTTGTTACATCACACTATGCGTGGTTGTGTTGGGATAGCTGAGTGGAGTAGTCCACTTGCTCCACCAGAGTACGTGTGGTTGTATTGGGGTAGGGGTAGCTGAGCCGAGTAGTCGGCTTGTTACATCAGAGTACGCGTGGTTGTACTGGGCAGTCATTCCTAACATGCCTGACGGTTCACACCTCACCGCACTCGAGTTTGGTTTGTGTAACTCTGTGCAGGGTCGTCTTCACGAGTCGCGCGACAAGAGGAAATGGGCGCATGGGTGCACGGCACAGATTCCTTCATTCGTAGCCTGCACAGTGTTTCTCTTTATCTCTTTGTGCAAAACAAACCTGGGTGTGAACGTTACTTTAGACTGCGACGTTGCAAGCAAATCCAAAGCAAACGTGTTCCGTCATTGTGCAAAAATTGAATGGGTCTGAAAGCTAACATTAGTCTAAGACGAAGCAGTGCAAACAAGCACACGTGGTGCGCATGAATACAGACCGTGCCGTATTTACAGAAATCGGTTAAATCGTGCGACCTTGACGCAAGCGGTGACCGCTCCTGCTGCCTCCATTCCAGGAGGTTGGAGACTCCTTCTCGGACCTTTGCACTTGAAGGTGACACGCGCTTTGAGTAAACATTCGGGATGTGAAAGCGACGATTGAGAAACGGTGCTACGGTGATGAATTTCACGCGGACGCGTCGAGAGAGAGACCCCTGGTGAAGCCGCTGCCGCCACATTCCAATCATTCCCTTAAACACCTGCGCGCATCACCTGAGACACAGAAAACC